GTTTGGCATGAGAGGTTAGAGTCACTGCCAAACAACGACATTTTGCTAAATTTGAGACCTGGTAAAGCTCCATCAGGTCGTTGAATTCATATAAATGATCCTGTGGATAAGAATTTCCATCAAATGCCCGCATGTCGGGCATCCTGAATCTTGATGGGAGTGGAGCGGCTAACACTTCGAGAGAGAAAGGGGACGCAGACGCGACCTGTCCTTGCTCATTTTGCTGAGCTCTTAGTCGGTCTAGAGCTCGTTGCAGTTCTTCAATTTGTGGCAATGGAGTCATTTGGGGATTGCTTTCACCCATGCGAGTTTGACCCTCGCGATTACAGTTAAGGAAAGTCCAGAGGTCGGATTCCTTTTCGCCTCGGCTGGTGGCCTTAACCGCTCTCGACACACGCTGGCTAGAGGCGTGTGATGGCGATGAATGATGCGAGATATTTTCATGACCTTCGCGGTGGTATGAACCGCCCTGCGAAGTGTGGGAACCTCCCGCACGATAACGATCAGGATCATTTTGCTGGCAGTGATAAGAATCGCCCTGCCCAGCACTTTTATAGGGGTCTACTTGCGACGTGACATGGGACAGCTCAGGCTGCATCCTTTCACCGAGTCTTAATGCCACTGGTATTCTGCTCGGGATGCGATCGGTGTTTGCTGGCCCTTTGGAGCCTGTAGGCCCATTTTTTGCCACTTGCTTACCCTTTCGTCGACGTGCTGTAGTGCTCGCGACACGGGCTATCTCCCTTTGTCCCTCTTTCGCATGACCTACAGGCGTTTTTGGCCGTTGCACCGCCCCAACTGATTTGGTTGACACGCCTTGGTCCAAATGGTCCAACCTTCGGTTGACCTTTTAGAGAGTATTGTCGAACCTTTCCAGGTAGCTTCTAATGACAGGGTCAAGTTGTGAACTTGATAGGATATCCCCCGCGGTATTTTGCGAAACCGAAGGTATTTCGGAAGAGGTGTCCTTCTGGACTTGGGGTATCCTTTCAGCACCCTGGTTGGTTCGCTCAGGTTGGCGGGCCATTTGCTATTGTAGGACTAGTAAGTTAGAGATTCTCCTGATAAGGGATAAACATTAAATCAGACCCTCCTTCTAGCGTCAAACTATTGATGCGTGATTTTGACACCAACGAAACGCACGTGTGAAATGCTGAGATGACTCAGAAGACACACGTAAATGCAAGAAAAATGAGAGTAAATGCAATGGGAACAACTTTTAAAGTGGTTCGGATGCTAAGGAAGCAAGTCCTATGTCCATTGATGTTTGTATTAATGATAGAGGTCAGGTCGCGTTGGCAGACTGACTTACAAATGACTTACAAATGATAGTATAAGAAAGTGAATGCTATATATTATAGAGGGAGAGTAGCCAATCCAGCTCTCAATTTATAATGGGATGGATTAAGGTTATCATTACTGAATCTGTGATTTGGTGGGATTATCTGTGCAAATCCTTCTTTATGTCACATTGCCCACCTTCTAGAGTGATTTACGCGATTTGGAGCAGGGATTGGACACGTGGGATCACCACAACTTCTGGCTGGTCTGGTGCACACCCACTATTTGACAGAAGCATGCTGTTCCTTTCCTCACGTGACTCAGCTGCGGGTGCACCCATGCTTTGACTTTTGCACGCTGACTGGACCTTACGTCAACCCTGCATTCTTTAGGCATAACAGGTTGCAATCCTTTAGTTAAGGGATTTGCAATCATGAGATCTGTCCTAATATGTTTAATAGACACTCGTTGTTTCTAGACCTCCTCCTTAACAGCAAAATACTTTAATTCCATATGTTTAGCACTTCTTGAGTATTTGTCGTTCTTGGAGAAGAAAACTGCTGCAGAATTATCATAGTAAAATTTCAGCAGCTTGATAAAGGTGTCGACAACCTCAAGTCTTGAAATAAAGTTACACAGCCATAATGCATGAATTGTAGCCTCAAAACATGCCACAAACTCTACTTCCACAGTTGATGAAGCAATGACAATCTGCTTAACACTTTTCCATGAGACTACTCCTCCAGCTAATAGGAACAAATAACCAAAAGTAGATTTTCTGTTGTCAATGCATCCAGCAAAATCTGAATCTGAATATATGATTATTTCTAAATGATCAAATCTTCTATATGTGAGCATATAATCCTTCGTTCCTTGTAGATATCTCAAAACTTTCTTTGTAGCTTTCTAATAATCTATTCGCGGATTACTTTGATACTTGCCTAACATACCAACAGCAAAACTGATGTCTAGTCTATTACAGGTTTGTGCATACACCAAACTGCCAACAACCGAAGCATAAGGAATTGATTCCATTTTCTTTCATTCTATATTATTCTATGGGCATTGCATGAGGCTGAATTTATCCCTTTTTTGTATAGGGACAATGTTTGCTGAACATGATTCCATGTGAAACCTCTCTAAAATTCTCTCAATATACCGTTTTTGAGACAACCCCAACGATCCTTGTGATCTATCTCAGAATATTTCAATTCCTATCACGTAGGATGCCTCTCCCATGTCTTTCATTTCAAAATTCTTTGAGAGAAAATTCTTGGTTTCATATAATACGACCAAATAATTCTCAATGAGTAAAATATCTTTAACATATAAGACTAAAAATGCAAACTTGCTCCCACTGATCTTTTGGTATATACATCGATCAACAGTGTTTTCTTCAAATCCAAAAGATGTTATGGTATTATTAAACTTAAGATACCATTGTTGAGAAGCTTATTTAAGTCCATATATTGACTTCTTAAGGTTACACACCATATGACATTTTCCTTCATCTGAAAAGCCTTTAGGTTGGTCCATATGAACTTCCTCCTCAAGATTTCCTTTAAGAAAGGTTGTTTTCACATCCATTTGGTGTAACTCTAAAACGTAATGAGCCACCAATGCCATAATAATTCTTAAGGAGTCCTTTTTAGAAACTGGGGAAAAAAGTCTCTTTATAATCAATGCCTTCTTTCTAAGTATAACCTTTGGCAACAAGTCTAACTTTATATCGTTCTATGTTGCCATTTGAACCGTGTTTGGTCTGAAAAACACTTTTACAACTAACTATTTTTGAACCTTCAGGCAACTCAACGAGATCTCAAACTTTATTTTGTTCCATGGATTTCAACTCTTCATTCATAGCATCAATCCATTTATCAGACTTATTACAATTTATGGCTTGTGAAAATGAAATCGGATCCTTATTAATTCCAATGTCAAAGTCTGACTCTTGCAAGTAAATCACATAATCATATGAAATTGTAGGTCTTCTTTGTCTTTGAGAGCTTCTTAATGATGATTCACCTGCTAATCTTCAACTTGAGATTAATTTTGACATTAGGGTGCGCAATGAAAGTCAACAGTATTTGATTTCTAATAAATTTGACTATTTCAGTAAATTAGCAATAAATAAATATCACATTATTTAAATTATGGCAATAGCAGCCGAATTTATAATTATTTTGAAGAGAAGAAATCTGGAACGTCATTTACATTTTGGATCATGAAATAAACGTAATATGCGGCGACGCACATGGTGTTTGTCCGCATGTATGATGGCGCGACACGTATGCTGTTTGTTGTAAGATCGTGGCTTTTGATGCAGTGTGATGGTGATCATCAAGTAAGAAAGGTCGAGTAGACAGAGCACGCAGCTCCAGGTGATGTGAGTTGACGCATCAATCTTTAATATTATTATTATTTTTTTAGCGATGCTAGCTTTATACACATATGTATATAAAAGGAGTATATATAAAGGTAATTTTTATTTTTAATTTTCATAATTTTTCTCTTTTTCTTTGTTTTATTTTTTTATTTTTGTTATATTACTTTATAATTTTCTTTGTATAGATCTTTATAAGGATATCATTTTTTATATTTTTTCCATTTTCAAAATTCTCGTCGAAAAAAAACTTGGCTCGAAAACTTGTTGATTAAGTAAAGTACTTGGGCAAATCATAACAACATATTAAATTAACAATCAAGTTCGGTTCACACATTATTATTTCTCAGCACGTGGCAGTTTCTGTGTTCTTGTTGATAATTTTTGAGAAATTTATCCCAAAAAAATTGGAGCTGTCACCTACAAATGGTTAGAGAGAGTTTAGCTTTTAATTGTAATATTATTCATAAAAGATAAAGGACATTATAGTCACCTACAAATGGCTGACCTCATTTAGATGGGATTGGCTGTCAGCGGTGGCGGCTGGGTGACAGTGGTGATGGTGGTAGTCTGTAAATTGTTTTAAATAAAAAAATATTATTGTTCAAAATTTTAGTTAAACAAGATAAAATTGAAATAAGATATTAATGTAAATTTATTTTAAAATAAAGACATTATTGTTTAAAACTTTTATTAATAAGGGATAAAATTGTAACAAAAAAAAAAATAATCATGATAATCTCAGAATACCTAAGAAAATGAAGGTAATCAGATTATCTCCAATATTACCAATAGTAACTACTATTGGTATTTGAAGATTATCGAAATCTTATACTCCCTCCGTTTTTTTTTTAATTGACGTTTTAGTTGTGGCCACAGAGTCCCACCTCTTTTTTCCCTGATTTTGCAGTGGGAGAGACTTTGAAAGTGGGAACTTTCCCGCTTATTTAAATATAACATTTTTATCAATTTTGTCTTATTCATTTGTTTCTCCCACCAACTTCATCTGTTTCTTTTCTTTTACGCTGCTCCAGTTCTTAAATTTTTTCGTCCCTCACTTGTTTCTGTTCTCTTTTATTCTATTCGGTCAGTCACCATGGCTGAACAATGTAACAGTAGAGGTGTATTTGGGGAAATTGATTTAAATGTTCTTCCAACATTAGAAGCTACGGATGAAGTTAATGACATAACCGAAAAAGTTAATACATATGTGAGTTAAAAAAACCTTACAAATGAACAAAGACAAGCAATTTTTGAATCTATATTGAAGCGAAGTGTTAATGGACAATTGAAGAAAAACACTATATCTGAGGTGGCTCAATTATTTTCAGTTAGTATGCGTACAGTCCAACGCATTTGGCAACGGGGAAAAGAAAATGAAGTTTTGGATTCTAACACTAATGTATCTAGCAGAAAGGCACTCAATTGTGGGCGCAAGCGTCTTGAAATTGACATCAGTCAATTTCGAAATATTCCATTGCGAAGAAGGACGTCACTGAGGTCTTTATCTGCTGTCACAAATTTGTCAGTGACAACATTGTTTAGGCGATTAAAAGAGGGCTCCATACGTCGTCATTCCAATGCTATAAAACCTTTATTAAATGTGGAAAACATGAAAGCTAGAATACGCTTTTGTTTATCGATGATTGAACATGGCAACAACCCCAGTTGTTTGAGGTTTGTAACCATGGAAAATATTATTCATGTTGATGAGAAGTGGTTCTACATGACAAAGCAGTCAGAGAAGTATTACCTCCTGCCTGACGAAGATGAGCCTTTACGCACATGTAAGAGTAAGACTTTTATTGCTAAAGTCATGTTTCTGGCTGCAGTGACACGCCCAAGGTTTGATGAATCAGGGAATGAATTATTTTCTGGAAAAATCGGGATATTTCCTTTCATAAATAAAGAACCTGCAAGGAGGAGTAGTAAAAATCGTTCTGTCGGAACCATGGAGACTAAAACAATCAATTCTATCAATAAGGAAATTTATCGATCTTACATAATTGAGAAACTCTTGCCGGCTATCCGAGATAAGTGGCCAAGAATTGATGCAGGAAGTCCAATATTTATCCAACAAGACAATGCGAAACCTCATATTGGTTTGGATGATGAGTATTTTCAAAGTAATGCTACTAAGGATGGCTTCGACATACGTTTGATCTGTCAACCACCGAATTCTCTAGATATGAATGTTCTAGACCTTGGTTTTTTTAATGCAATACAGGGACTACAATACCCGCAACTCTATAGATGCGCTCATAAAGGCTGTTCAGAAGTCATTTGATGAATACTTGCCAACAAAATTGAATCATACGTTTTTAACTTTACAGTCATGTATGATTTCAATTTTGAAAGCTAGAGGTTTGAACAATTATAAGGTTCCGCACATGAAAAAACATAGTTTGGAGAGACAAAATTGCCTTCCTAGGCAGTTAGATGTTGACCCCGCGTTAATTGGAGAAGCAATTGCTCAATGTCAATAAGTGTTACAATTGACCTATCTAGTATTGAAGACTATTTTTCTTTTGTCCATGATGTTCATATGGGTTCTGATAAGATATTGTCTTTTAGGAGTAGTTTGTGTTTCATTTTGATTTTTTTTTTTTTTTTTTTTTTTTTTTTTTTTTTTTTTTTTTTTTGGTAAAGAAATTCTACTCCAACATACAAGAAAAGAACTGTTCTATTTTGTGATATAAGCTTTTATATGGTAATAATAACAAGGTGCCAAAAGCTGTACACTACACTTTCTTGTGTCACTCTGCCTACCAAAAGATGCACATATAGAAAATCAGCTTACTTAAACTGAGATCGATGATATTTAGATAATGAAGTAAACAACCATATACAAATCTAATATTTTGCAGGTCCTATGAAGAACAACCTGCCAAGAAGAAACCTAAGAAGAGAAAATTAATGAAGCAGGGACTGGAAGGTGAGAATGATGGTGATTTATGGCCAAATCAGAAAAACGGGGAGAGGATGATGGTTTGGATGAATTTAAAATTTATATCTTGAAATTGAAATCTGATATACATATATATTTCAAAAGTTTCAGGTCTTTTGAATAGATTGTCTGAATTATATGGAATCTTCCCCTTGAATGATCGATTTATTTTTGGCATGACCTATTGCATCATCTATTGGCTTACAATATGAAGTTCTTAATAAAAGTTGTTCAATAGTTTCTTTTCTACAGGCGTCAGGTATAAAAAAAAAAAACATTTATTATCTGTATGCATTAATCTCAATCTAGAATTACTTATTTCAAATCATATTTGTATGGTATGTTGGCATTTCTGTAAACTGTCAAATGTTCAGTTTCAGTTAATGCACAATCCCTGCTACAATGGGATGTGAGTGGGGCTGTGAGTGTACTTAGACATTGATCTGTGATTTGTTTTTAAATTTTGGAGTCTAAAATGCAGAGCTATTTAGGAATTATCTGAAGCAGATAAGAGAGGAAACAAGTGGGAGACTGTAGAGTGTTACATATAGACCGAATGGCACTCCCAATAAATGGTGGGTGGCATTTTCTAAGAGGAAATCATGAACATCATTGTTCCTTGGATATATTGTTGTATATCCAATAACTGGTATCTGCCTGACGAATTCTTCTTATCGTAAGCTATAAAAATTATGTTGCAGATCATTTGTAATGATAAGCTGTGAAAAATCTTTTTGTTTGTTTGTGGTGCATTGAAACTTCTACATCAAAATGCATTTCTATATTATTCAAATACATTGAATGAAATTGTGAACCTTCATAATGGATAAGTAAAGAGGGATAAAAGCTAGCGAATTTTCATTAATAGCTGTACATGGACAAAAAAAGGCCGGCAAAAAAAAAGCAAGCCATCTAGGCACAAATCAAAATACAACAGTTGACATTAAAGGTTTGCAGCCAAAAAGTGTCAAAACTCCAGCCACCTTAAGGAAATCCAACAAAAGCTTCAATCCCCAACTAGCAGAAAAACCAAGACTCACCACAACAAAACTACTGCAAAGCACACACCCTTGGGTCAGCCACATGCCCTTCTCAACACCAAAGGCCCCGCAGAATAGGCTAAAACAAAACATAGGCAAAAGTCACAAAAATTGAGCCACAAACGCAAATTTGACATCACAAATTTGACAATAATGCAACAACATCACAAATTGATTTTGACAATGATTTTGATAAGGAAAAAACATCACAAATTTCTAAACTCAAATCTACTACGCAACTGCCACAAACGCCCATTTTCTCCTTTTTCTCCCATGGACACCACTCAACCAGACTAGTCCACTCTCCCCGCACTTCTCCTCAACGCCATCGCTAAACGCCTTGCCACACGCATAGACATCCTCTCTTTCCGTGCCGTCTGTAACTCATTCAAAGACTTTCCTTTCCCATCATCTGTATCGTTACTCTCCTCTCAACTCCCTCAAGAAACTTCAGCTTTTGTTAACACCCGTGTGGACTGGAAGGAAACCCCAAAAGCTCACAAGTTCAAGGCTGATCTTCTAGGGCTCAAGAAAGAGGAAGTGAAGGTGGAGATTGAAGACGACAGGGTGCTTCAAATAAGAGGAGAGACAAACATATAGAAGGAAGACAAGAAAAAGAGAGAAAAGATGGAAGCAGAGATGGATTACAGAAAGAAGAAGTGGCGATGGAAAATAAGGAAGAGATGAGAAGAGGGGAAAAGATAAGATAAAGATAAAAATTAAAGAGGACAGAGGCAAAAAGTGAGAAGTGACACGATGGAATGGAAAGAGAGAGGGATGATAAAAAGTGGAGAAGGCATGATGGAAGGTGCAGACAAGACAAAGGCAAAACGACTTTAATTTTGAAACTTTTAAAAAGTCTTAAAACGACAATTAAAAGGAAACGGAGGGAGTATTACTTAGTAACTAAATATGGTAATCAAGTAATATAAGATGATATTATCACCAACCAATCGTTCCCTAAGTATAACTTTTTTAGGTTCTCTCTTTGCTTAGTACGATTTTTTTAAAATAAATGACTAATAAGAAATGTTTAAAATTGAGTCAAAATTTTAAGTTGCAGTATTTTAACCCATATTTATAAACTTATAATAATGTATATTCTAACGACTTACTAATGCTAAAATGATTTTTATTATTTCAAAAACTTTAAAATAATTTTTGTTATCATATCAAACCTTTAAGGATCCCATGTCTTTGTACTCTAAATTAAAATATCCTTTGTTACTAGTGGAGTAGAAAGTATAATTTTAACCTTAACTCAAGGTGTTTACACAATTTAAAAGAATAAAAAATACTACCCAAACCAAACTGTATTTGATACGAAGAATATGACCAATAGAAGAATGCTTTTTTTTTTTCATGTTTAATTTAAAATAAAAATTAAAAAATTTTCGGGATTAAATTAAAATGCCTTAAATATTTATATTTGAATTTATAACCAATCATGCATTGCATTGCAATCCAATAATTAGAAGTTGATGAATTGACATTAATATAAAAACAATACAAGTTCTTAGTCCAAGACACTAAAATATTTTAGGAAATTTTTGTACTGATAGGACGTAGGAGGGGATTGGCCTCGGCTTTTACTTTTATAAGTTTTTTATTTTTTAATTTAAATAGAGTAAACGACATATTCCCACCCACGAAATCTCAAGTTAGTATTATTGATTTCATTTATTCTAGATTCCTACCCTTAAAGTAACAGTGTTATGAATTTTTAGGGTTTAGAGGTGCAATTATCATAATGCCCTTAACCCTAAATTAATAAATTATGTTTTAACCCCTAAATTAGTAGAATTACAAAACTTACCATTTTATTTTCAAGTTATATCAAAAACACCCTCGGTCACTATACACCCTCGTCGGACGTCGAACCCCCTGGTCACCTCCATCACCTTCCTCGTAGTCCGTCGTCCAAAACCCCTCTGGTTCCCGACTCATTCGGCTCTCCAATTGCCGGCACCATTAGGCTTAGGGTTTTGGTGTTCTTCACCGGATTCTGGCGGTGAAAATCCAATTAGACACCACCAATGCAACCACCGTCCCCAAATCAATAAAACCCCTATATCCCCACCAACTGTTTCATCGTCATTCGCCGGCCGAGAGTTCGTGTTCATCGGCCGTTTTTCGTTGCCGTGGTCGGAGATCGGCAAGTGATGAGAGGTTGTAAATGGTATGGTTTTGTAGAGGAGAGAATGGGGGTTGGTGGTGACAAGGGTGATTTTGGGTGGAAGAATCGCTGGAAAAGAGCGAAAAACGTCGAGAACGACGACTGCTAATGTGCGTCGAAGGACTGTTAGAGGCGGTGGTCTGCTAACGTGCGCTGCCCATGTAAAATAACCAATTTACCCATTTACCGTTACATTAAACGTTTTTCCATCACTTTAAGGGTGGAAATTTGAAATAAATGGAACCAATGGTACTAACTTAAGATTTTGTCAAACCTTGGGTGGGAATATGTCGTTCACTCATTTAAATATTATGATTTTGTTTTTCGTATGTTTGATGGGCTCGGTCAATTCTTCATAGAAAGTATTATCACGAGCCCATATGGTATCTTTCTAAAACAAACATATGACAAGCCAATTTGTTATATATATTTTGATCAAATACGCCCTGCACTTCAACTTAGTTGTAATCTTTAGCAAAACCCCACTTTGTTTTGATGATGATCATAATCTGAAATGAACACGGTAGCTCACCCGAAAATCAAAGCCATTTTTATGCTTTAATACCTCTTATAACAATTCTACATAGTTGATCTACATTATTGACGACTCAACCAGATGTTTTAGAATCTCTTTAAGCTATATGCCAGTGGGACGTTACAGAAAAATACAATTATGATCAACACTACAGATTACCTTGATTCAACAGTGTTGGTTTCTGAGCCTCGTAGAAATGATCTTCGCCACCAAATCTGGAAGGATTTGCTGAGGTTGGGGCATTCAGTACCGTGCTTGGAGAAACACCGGAACCATTCCATAAACAACACGTACTGCTGCTTTACTGGAAGTGTAAGCAGTGTCTGACCCATTGCTTCCTCTAAGGTCTTCATTTCGAGCCCTTTTTTGCATCTCTGCAGCCAACCAAAGTCTGATAGCATAGGGCCAAACCACGCTTGAAAAAGCGCTGATCTTGCTTCCCATGGGCAGTGCAGTTTCCGCGTCCCCATTGCAATAAACAAATTTGCTGAAACCCGGCTCAGCTCATACCTAATCATTGGAGATGCATTCTCATGCAATTTAAGTAGTTTCCCTTGATCTGCCCACAAGTCCACAAATTCTTCTCCCATCTGCCGATCAAGCAGGATTTCTAGTAGCCAATTGATATTATCAACCTGTCTAGAGATGCGCTCAATCAAAGGTTTACTCCTCTCTTCTTTTGTTACTTTCTCCTTGGGGTAATTGCCAGAGGCCTCATCAAATAGGTTCAGTAGTGAACCCAAACAGGACTGACAAACAACATAGAAATCCTCCTTGTTGAGGTCAGGTTGGTCCTTCTCATAAACGGAGCTTCTGCACAGGAGACCCTTCACTAATGACTTCAGCTCATTTCTAGCATTAGCGTCAGAGCACGTCGTGATGGACCAAACAAGCTGTCGGGCTAAATTTTGTTGGGAGTCTCCAGCATCGTGCAAGTATAATCTAGCCAAAATGTCTCTAGTTGTTGTCTCGTCAAACTTGAACCTTGTAAAGAGGCCCCTCAATTTTTCCTCTTCTTCCTCCGTCCAAGGAACAGCCTCGAGGTATTTTAGACAAGATGAAACACCTTTAGTAAACATGATTCCTGCCGATACCTAGTAGAACTTTCAAAAGGTCTTATTAGCATTCTGTTTATTACCACACAAAAAAAAAAAAAGAGAGAGAGAGAGAGAGAGAGAGAGAGAGAGAAAGGAAAGCCAAAAGATCTATAGAAAGAGAAATTATATTTAATGATTCAAAGATCAATCATAATGTATGAAAATAGTCAAGAAGTTTTAAGTTTTGACTTCCAGATATTAATAAGATTCAAATTCTCAAAAAAGATTCATCTACATTCCAATTCTAGGGAAATAAAATCAAAAGAGGTGAGGCATAAATGCTGTTTCTTCAAGTGCATCTTTGTTGTGGTTTGGTTCTATTCTATATTAATGGCATTTACAAATTATGGCATGAACAATACAAGCAAAAGCCAGCTATTCAAAAACAGAACCCCATATAGAATATCACTTCATCAAAATGTAGAGCTATCAAATCTGTGCATTCCAGAATTACATCCCAGGATCAGATTTTACTAACGACATACTGAGCATACAAGTTTGTTGCCAAAAAAACATTTGTTGTAACGCCTATCTAATACATCAAATACAATGAGGACACCATGATTATTGCCTAAATATTTTACGTGCCACTCCTATCCTACGAACACCAAACTGGGTGCAATCATGTTGAGGTTCTTTAGGTTGATGGAAAAACCTAATTAATTCTCAAACAAATGCCGAAACACAGAAGTAAAGTATTAGAATACTGAACTAGAAAAAAAAAAAAAGGAAAAAGACGGTAGGATCAAGTCAAGGAAGAGCATCTACTTGTGAGACAATACTTATTATTTATTATAAATTGCAAGGAGTATAATTTATTCTTTCATAAATTAAAGAAACAATTTATGTAACTAAGGAACCTCTCTCTCACTCTCTCTCTTTTTTTTTTTTTTTTTGTGATTTATATAATTAGCTTTCCATGTATATACAAGGAGAAAACCAAAACTTACGACCATCCACTTTTTTTTTTCTAATGGTTGCATTGAATTAATGCAGTTTTAAGGATTTTTTCAACACTAAAAAATATTTTGAATTGAAGTATATGTCTATAAGAAATTAAATTGAAGTACTTTAGAATAGATTCCCAGGAATTGATTCTGTTGTTAGGTTGGAATAAGGAATCAGTTCCTATCTTAATTTCATTCCTACCTGATTCCATTCCTATCTTAATTTAATTCCAACCACTATTCATTCAATTACACCAACCAAAAGTCTCAGCATCTTAATTTGAAAATTAAACCTGACCAAGTTGCATATTACACTCTCCATCTTAATTCTCAAAAAATTGCAGCCAGAAAACATTTAGAGCAGAAATCATGACACTGCCCAATACTTCTACAACATGTAGCGTGGTAGAAGTACGAGGATGCAACACAACATGGAGCATGGTCTAATCAAATACATGATAATGGAACATGAAAGGAAATGCACGAAACAATGTCTTTCAACATCTGTGAAAGAAAACTAAAAATTTGTGATAAACTGCAAAACTTTCAGCAAAAATTCACATGATTGAACACTTTATAAGTAATGCAGTTACAGGAAAAGGATCTATATACTAATTCTATATAACTCAAAGTTTTGGTAGTTTCTGAGTTTTTCATACAATGTTCAACGTGGACAAGATTTTCAAGAATATGAACATTGAGTTGCCATTAATCTAGATCTAAATCAATGTTTAATCCAAAGTGATACTTAATAAATTAAGGGTATGTTTAAATGTCCGTTGCTATCAAATGTAGCACGTGCTTCCTCGGGAATGCCATTGTATCCATAGTCCACAACACACAAGATTCACTAATACCAATAATAATACCAAGATGATCATCAAACTTATAGCAACATGAATTATAACATAGAACGTTAGACTTATAACACTAAAGAACCGACTCATGACCCCTAATAGAAACAAACACACAGAGCTTCTCCTCCTAAAATGCTTCCATGTAACCACATATCAATGAAATGCACAAATTACTACACACAAGCAAAACCTCAAAAATCCTAAAGAAATATCATATAATTAAACTTGCCCATAAAACAAAATTTGCAACAAAAACAAAAATTATAATAACACATTAAAAAAAAAAAAAAAAAAAAAAAATCCACTAACCTCAAGTATATCAATACATCTATAAACCCCAATCTTCAATAACCTCTTAGTGAGATTCTCATTCTCCTCAAACATGAGCTCAATTGTTTGCCTAAACATCCCCAAATTCTCCACATCAGGCACTTCAATCCTACAAACATTTCTCTTTTTTTCAAACAGCCCTCCATTGTTTCTATTATTAACATTTTTATTATTCTTTTTATTAAACTCCTCAATTAAACCCGCGAAAACAACCGAATTAGCGCACAAAACCCCCGAGTTCATCTCCAAAACCAAACACCCACCATGTCTCCCCTTCAACTTCAGCCTCACATCATACAAATCCCCATCTCCAGAACCCGACGCGGACAGACGACCCGAATCCGACGAGTTCGTGCAAGCGCCCTCGTTCGGGGCCCGGAACGAGCCCGATCTTGATCTGGGCACTGTTATATCGGCGGCCGGAGACTGGGTTTGACTTGGCCCGAGTTCCGGCATCGACTCAACGGTAGGATCCGAGTCTATGGGCGAGACTCGACCCGGAGACAAGATCCGACGCGGGTCGATCCGGTTGACGAGGTTCAGGTTCAACCCAGACTTCGAGCTCTGCGGGGAGGAGTAGGTGGCCGAGTTGGGACCGGGTTTGGAAACCGGATCGTGTTTCGGGTACCGGGTTTTGAGGTTTTCGGGGCTGGCAGGCGGGACGGCAAAGGAGCAACACCAAGATCTCTGGCGGGACTTGAGACTGATAGGGCGACGGCGAGTGGAATCGTCCATTTGGGGGGGAAGGGGACTGAGTCAGAGAGCGAGTTGGGAGTCAGTCAGTGAAGAAGAGAGAGTAATAATGAGCATTGTTGTTTCTTGTTTTGAGAGAATTAGAGAAACAAAGATAAATTGGTTTACTTAGTGAAGAATGATGAAAGTGTTTTAAGAAAGTGATTTGTTTTTTGTTTTTGTTTTTGGGTTTTGGTTTTGTTTTGATTGTGTTTTTGTTTCTGCTTTTTCTTTTTCTTGGGAATTGTGGTGAGGGTTTTGTTGGGTAGTTCAGTTATGTTAGTTTTTTTTTTTTATTATAATTTAATTTAATTTTATTGGAGTTTTGGTGATGAAAATGACGGCCATTGTTTTCTTTTTATTTTATTTTTTTATGTTTTAGTTTCTTGTTTTACTGATAGTTTGATAGGAATATATCTGGTAATATACCCATAATGTTACTAAAGATTCTATTTTTATAGTAATAAAAATATGTGACATCATAGTTGTAATATTGTAATATATGATTAATTAGTTAATATTTATGAAATCACATAAATTTTTAAAATTAATCAATTAATACTAGGAAAGCTTAGTAACAATCAATGAATCAATAATATTATTGACTTAGGATAAATGAAGATGAAATGTCCGAATTTGGATTGTGTTAAAGGTTTTGTCGTTTTGAGAGAAAAAATGATTTGGTACTCAACTTATGAAATTATCGCGGTTTAGATTTTTTCAATTCGTTTTCAAATAAGCATATTGATAATTGATCAATCAAGAGAACGAAATATCATGAATGGGATGTTTTGACTTCGGATTTTTGAGGTTCGTTATAAGTTGACTTGTCATGATGGAAATACATGCAAGGTTGACTTTGATTCTAACAAAAATCATGTTACTAAATTAGTTCAAACATTGAATTAGTAAAAAACATGGATGTTGTATTTACTATTTAGGATATAATGGAACAAGTTGTATGATTGAATATAATGGAAAAAAGAAATTGATGGAAGTATGAGGTGGAATAAAAGAGTACACTTTTTAGCTTTTTGTTTCTTTACGTTGTGTAAATAGTTGGACAAGGTATCAAATTTGCCCACCTTGTAAGCTTTGGAATTTTTTGGGTTTTGGTCAAACTATACCATAATAAAAGCATTTTGGAATTTGGAATGTGGACATTATAATCGTGCAAAAAATAGGGATTTGATATTATCTTTGCAAAACATTGTCATGTTTGACAAAGAAAAATGGATTATTTTACTTGAAAATGAGCTAATAAGGCCAATTATATATCCGATGTTGGGAGGGTGGACAAAAACAACAATGAAACTATATTTAATTATACCTTACTGAGTTGTTTTTTTAGATATTTTTAAAATACAGATTGAAATTACAAAGAAAAAAACATTATAAAATATCAAAAAGCCGCCCAAATAAAAAGTGAACCATATTAAATTTAAACCAATTTTTTTTTTTTTTGGTTCAGTAACATAGTATGGTACGATACTATGTGGTATTTTTTGGAAATTTTCCTTGGACAATACGGTTTGACCAAAAAACCGAACTATACCATATTTCTCCATCTTGAGGGATGCACAAATGTGGGAGTACTGAGTTAGACTGTATAGTATTAGTATATTGTCCTTAGAGATAATTAATAATTTAGAAAAAAATTAATTAACATATTAAGTTAATCATAGGCTCCAGAGCTCAACCAACCCAATAGGCATTAATCATGGGCACAAGAGCCCACCCAACCCAATAGGCTTAGCTTTCTTCAAAATTGGGCTTTCTAAATATTTTAGGCCTGAGAGCTTGGCCAAGAAAAATTTGGCCCGATAAATTTAATATTTTATTTTCTAATTAAACACCTCTCTAATGTGAATATATTTGATTTTATTCACAATGTTTAGTAGAAAGAAAAAAAATTTCTCCATAATTTCATTCCATTCACAGCTTATTATATTCCATCTTTTAATTTTAAAATTATATTCATATAAATTTTTAAATATCGTTTACAAATAAACATAACAATTGCATTTGCATTTTAATTTTCATATAAATTAACATTTAATAATCGATTTTAAAATAACAAAAGCCGAATTCATAAAATCGAATGTGATTTTTAAGAACACGTCATGCCCAAAATAAAATCCAAAATAGAATGATCGAGAATTTCACAAGACATGTCCTCAAAAAACAATCAAAGCAACCATGTTTGAAATTCCTCAAACTCACCCATGACCTGTCTCACTCTCACATCAGCAATTCCTGCATCAACTCCCATACATTCCCGTCCCATCAACCGTTCAAATCAATCCCCCATCGCCATCACCCACGTGTCCCCACAAAATCAATCTCGTAGAATTTCACCACCGCCTCAAAACACTCGTGTCACCCTCCCATTGGCCTTGCAACGCAACACAAACACGTACTTACCCAAAACTCTCCCAAGAGTTTATTACAATTTTTTCCCTAAGGTATCGACAAATAACAAAGTCCCCATTTAAGTATTTGAAATAACAATTTATCCCTTACAATCATTATCTCGGTAGCATTTCGTCTAATATTTTGGGATTTGGACATGTATAGCCAACCCAATAATCTCAATTCTCAAATGGTTATTTAAAGAACAAATCTAACCGTAAAATTTAATGATTTATCAATCATTCTTAACTAACCAACAAATGATATATTTCTAATACAAGACTTGATAATCTAGCATTAATAGTATGATTAATAGTCTAATATATAAGTATGTTAGATGGTGTTAAACTTTGTAGTCTAGCATATTGCAACTGTTTTTTTCTTTGTTATTTTTATTAAGGGCAATTAGGTCAACTCATGTAATTTTACGGTTAAATCTATCTTTTAAATAAAACCTTTACATTTTGGGAATTAAGATTAGTAAATATGGCATGCAGGTGAATATATCTAATACATTTTACACTCAATTTGTTAAATTAAATAGTAAAACCTTAACATAATACTAATAGTAGAGGGTAAATTGTTATTTATGAAACCTGAGAAGGGATATTTTATTTACTCATATATGAGGGAGGAAATTGTCAAGGACTCAACTCCCCAAAACAAAACCAAACGCAAGTTGCCTCAAACTCACAGGACTTTCTTCATTTGTGACAAGACGCCATCTTCCGCCACGTGTTGCAATCAGGCAAATCAACCCAACCCCACCTCGCCACGTATGCGGACGCCATGCGGTGAGATTCTGCCACGTTACCTAGCGTGGATCACTAGCTCAAGCTCCGCAAAATCTTATATAAAGTTGGGAAATATCCACGTTGAGTTTTACAACTACATGTCAGGGCCGTCTCTAGAACATTTATGACCTTAGGCAGGAGTTACTTTGGGGCCCTCTAATAATATAAGCATATATTAAAAAAATTATTATTATAATTATTATTATTATTATTATTTTTTTTTTTTTTTTGCCTTTTGAGATAAAAAATCACTAGGAAAAGTGGACAGCAACCGGTAGGCTAACAAGGTTAGGTTAGTAGGGGGTTTTGGAGAGTAGATATTGGAGAAGTGATGAGTGGTGAAATGGGTGATTTCCAATGCCAAGATTGATAAGAAAATGCTTGAGAAGTCACGGCCCAAAAGGTATCGATGGCCGGCGATTGGCAGAGTAAACAGATAAGGTATGATAGGGGTTTTGGTGAGAGGGCTGAGGGGAGGAAGATGGTGGTGTCGGGGAAGGCCAACAATGTCGAGTACATGCCAAAAAGGTTGAAAATGGTTGTCGTGTGGTGGAGCTGGGTTGCGAGATTCATAAAAAATTAGTCAAATCAAGGGTTATCAAGGTTGGGAAATGATAAAATGATGATTTCGGTCGATTTTGGTGAGAAAATTGACCGGAACCAAAATTAACCGAAATCAACTCCAAACCACTGGTGGCAGAAGAGGGTTGGAGATGATTTATGTGAATGTTAAATTTTGGGATTGAATTAGGGGTGAGTAATTTGAGATATGTAAATAACTATTTTAGTCTTCCATTGTTAAAAAAGATTCAATGTGTTAATTTAGGGGTATAAACTAGAATATATAAAACTAGAGGTACAAACTTGCTATTTTGTTAAACTTTGGGTGGGAATATATGTAAAAAGTTTATAATAAATTTAGGCTTTTTTGGTTTTTTTTTTTTTTCGGGGCCCCTTGGCTTAGATAAGAAATTATAAACATTTTTATTTTTGTAAGTTATTAAAAAAAAAATTTATAAAAAATCTGGGCCCCCATATTTTTGGGGCCCTAGGCAGGTGCCTCACCTGCCTACCCCTTAAGCCGGGCCTGCTACATGTTTTTCTGTGCCACGAAAACTGGGGTATTTTCTTTCTTTCTTTCTGGAGAATAATGGAAGGATCATCGGTTGTGAGCAGGATAGATAGAAAATCTTCGATAGAAACTGAGCCGAGAACGCTCAGTATCGATCAGATTCAATATGCGAGAGTACGTACATACTTATGCTCAGTTTTTTTTTTTTTGGTTGAGTTGAACGGTTAATACTTAATATTACAAGTACGACTTTATTCTGGTTTGTTTCTGATAAAGTAGTTTGCTGATATAGTGGTTTATGTGTCGTGTATATATGTATATATTTTGATAACGATGGTGATGATGCAGGAGGCAGCGCTTTATGTTTTGAATACAATGAGCATAGAGGAAGCCATGAATGTGTTCATGAAGGTGAGGGCTCAGATAATGATTCTCTCTTCTCTGCTAAGTTTTTTAACTGGTATCTTATATTCATTTTGTAAATATAAATTAAGCAGACTTTTTAATATTAAATTTGCATGCATCTTCCGCACCATTGAGTTTGAGTTGTTCATCTTGCTATATATGAAGAACTTCATAGACGACATGGTTTCTTTTGGTTTGTTTGCTCGGGTTTACAGTAGAATATTATGATAAGGGTTTTATTTATTATTTTTGTTAGGAAATCTTCCTTATTCAAAGTGTTTGGTATCTTTCATGTTATCTTTTTTAATATCTAATTGTTCTTGGCATGTTTTTATTGGACGTACATGATTTACATAATATTTTAAAGATATGGGATCCCTTTTTCTCGATTAAAAAAAAAAATAATAATAAAAAAAATTCTTACCCATTAGAGATTTTGCACTACCAAAGCTTGTTGGGATCTTGGGTCACAAGTAGAACATCCTTCAATAGCTACATCAATCTCGAAACAAAGTGTAATATTATCATTTACTTTTAATATTTGAGTAATGTTACATTTACACTACTCTTTTATATTATTTTCATTATATCATGATGTGGTATATGTTATAATCATACAAATTTTTAATTATTTTAAATTTTTAATATTATAATAAAATTTGTGTGATTGTGACATATGTCACATCATGATGTAATAAAAATGGTATAAAAGAATAGTATAAATATAACATTATTTTTAATATTTATGCAGAGGGTTTGAATATTTTCTTGTTTCTTATTTTATTTATTGTAAGAGGGAATTAATTCTGTAAGGTTTGCAGGGATTGGAGCCAGTGGAAAGTGGAAAAAAGCAAGATGGAGAAAGAATGATGGAGATTGGAGAAGAGCTCCAGTATTTGGAAGATGAGCAGCAATGTCCATTGCTAAAGGATGTGGCTTCTGCACCTTTCTAGTTGAACTACCAGCTATATATTTTAAAAAAAAAAGAAAAAAAATACAAGATGGGATTTTGCCTTTACCATTGATTTCCAATTCATTTATTAGCTGGTTTGTTGTTTCATTTTCTCTCTCACTCCCCTAGTTTTGTAAATAAATAAGCAAATCCCTTTCTCCTCCAACGAGTAATCCTTGTTATTCTGAAACTTAGTTGAGTGAATAGGTGATTGTAAATATGGCAATTTTGTAATGCAATGTAATCAACTGCTTCCTGTCAAATTCGGTATGTTTTTTTCGTCTTTGTTTACCTGTTATCTCTGACCTCTAGGGAAAAAAAAAAAAAAAAAAAAAAAATCAGCAGAACCCTAACGTATTACAGATCATTCGCTGCCTCTCATACTCCATAAAATCATCACTTGACTTCTTGACCATCTTATAGTTAACATTTCTTGGAATCGGCAAGTAACAATTGAGTTTGTCAAATTTGAAGTTACGTTAGTGAGGATCAAGGTTTTAAAACCAGGCTTGGGGTGAAACTCAACAAAGTGGTTAGGTTTTGGATTGACTGGTTTGATTGATGGATGATCAAACCGGTGATGTTAGTATGTAAAAAAGTTTAAAATCTAACAAAAACACCCTTATAAATTACATAAGTTCCTAAAAGTTTGAAATCCTACAAAAACACTCTAAATTACACTCTTGGTGTCGAACCCAAGCCAAATAGGGCCTGTTTTTGGTGTTGATAACACACCCCATCACCACAAAAACTCTACCCCTCAACCTCTTGACCAAAACTCACCTCACCTTATTCATGTTCGCCTCGCTAATTGCCAGAAGTAGCTCGTTGTTGTCGTCGATTTATTTTCGCGATTTCTGGTTATTTCACTCACAAAAAATTACCTCCGTTGCCACCTTTCGACTCACCAACCCTTCCGTTTCAAAACCCCCAAAATCCCAACCACCAATTGTTCGCCAATAGTCATCATAATTTCTAAGGTTTGTCCTGAATAATAAAATTGGTAACTCGACCAGATGAAGGCCCCAACCCCAATTGAAGCAGTTCAACCGGTAAGGCCAGGCCTTTTTTTTAAAACATTGCTGATGATTTTTCGTATCTTAAAGAGTCTTGCCAACGTTTTTTGAAACGTTACGGAGGTCAGATGTAATAACTTTTTGTTTATGATAAGAGCGGTTGCACCTATAATATGGGTACTCGGAACTTTTAAGCCATTAAAATGAGAAAATGAATAAAATATTCATGTCTGTATCAATAAGAATCCAATGAACTTGCCACACAACTTGAAAATAGAGCTATTTTGGGGAGAAAATGAATCTAGACTTCACGGACATCTTTAAAATTGGCTAAAGAACCAAAAGCTTCTCTCTAAATGAGAAATAGTGAATGCCGGAAAAAGAAAGAAAGGAACGGATGGCGTATTTCCAACGTCAATTATGAAAAACAAGAGGGAAGAAAGATTGTCAAGAACATTTGGACCAAAGGAACAATACTACATTCTCATTCTCAACAGTCAAATCAATATCATCAAGATAGCTTACCTTGAGATCAAATCCAAAGACTGCTAAAATAAGAAAGTGTGGCAGACTAAATATGCAGATAATTTCAGTGTTTGTAATTGCTGGCTCGGATGAAAAACCGAGTCTAATACGTTTCTCATCCGAGCAAGCAAACGATGACAGAAAACATAAACTTAAATGGAAAGACTTTATGCTCCAAAAGTTCCATACTAACAAACGCAACCGCTCAAGAATTCAGATCAATCTTTTACTAGAATACTTCTTTAAATAGTGGGATAAAAATATTTGTTTCCTAATTTATCATGCTTGGTATATCTTATTAAGATGCCACAACAGGTGGTTTAGTCACANTTTTTTTAAAACATTGCTGATGATTTTTCGTATCTTAAAGAGTCTTGCCAACGTTTTTTGAAACGTTACGGAGGTCAGATGTAATAACTTTTTGTTTATGATAAGAGCGGTTGCACCTATAATATGGGTACTCGGAACTTTTGAGCCATTAAAATGAGAAAATGAATAAAATATTCATGTCCGTATCAGCAAGAATCCAATGAACTTGCCACACAACTTGAAAATAGAGCTATTTTGGGGCGAAAATGAATCTAGACTTCACGGACATCTTTAAAATTGGCTAAAGAACCAAAAGCTTCTCTCTAAATGAGAAATAGTGAATGCCGGAAAAAGAAAGAAAGGAACGGATGGCGTATTTCCAACGTCAATTATGAAAAACAAGAGGGAAGAAAGATTGTCAAGAACATTTGGACCAAAGGAACAATACTACATTCTCATTCTCAACAGTCAAATCAATATCATCAAGATAGCTTACCTTGAGATCAAATCCAAAGACTGCTAAAATAAGAAAGTGTGGCAGAAGAAATATGCAGATAATTTCAGTGTTTGTAATTGCTGGCTTGGATGAGAAACCGAGTCTAATACGTTTCTCATCCGAGCAAGCAAACGATGACAGAAAACATAAACTTCAATGGAAAGACTTTATGATCCAAAAGTTCCATACTAACAAACTCAACCGCTCAAGAATTCAGATCAATCTTTTACTAGAATACTTCTTTAAATAGTGGGATAAAATTATTTGTTTCCTAATTTATCATGCTTGGTATATCTTATTAAGATGCCACAACAGGTGGTTTAGTCACATATGATAGAATGACTACCACCGTTGGGTATCCTTCAATCCAGATAAAGATGTGAATCCTAGTCTTTTTAAGTAATACTGAGTCCATGATTCTTATTCAATTTAATTTTACAAATTCTATCAAGATTACTATGAAATAGAGCAGAAATTCGAAGGGAGGCAAGGCTTCACATGTTGCTGCAAATAGCTGATCCCATTCCCAGCTACCTCTTGAGTAGGTTGTATCTATAGCATATGGGAAACCCTCCAACTTATGTGACAAAGCGTCGTTAGTGCACCCACAACCAACTCCAACAAGTCACCTCGGCCTTGACAACAATGGAGGAGGACCATAAGCACACAACAGAGCATTTAGATCTTTTGCTCCATGAAGAGGAGCCAGGCACTTTGCAGCTGAAGCAAGACAGACATGCTTAGGGAATCCTACATTGTTCTCCTGGTACGAAATATGACAAGCAATGACAAAAAGAACATGAGCATACAAACCCTAAATTAACAATATATAACAAAGACAGAAGCAACAAACAGGAGCCCAGAAGCTGACTTAAATTATAGTCATTGTGCCAAAATCACAGATTATACCTCTGATGAGACCAACAAGTAAAACAAAGACAGCAGTTAATCCTTTTAGGTGCAGTGAACAGTAAACTAAACATGCACGAAAAAACTAGGTTCAAGAGAATACATAAATCAGCATACCCCGTGTCTTGTTTGATGGAATCCATCAATGACATCTGTTCTGACAATCAGAAATTTTCCCCAAGTAAAATATGATCCACCTCTTGTTAGCTCTTCGGAAATGCAGCCCATTGGTCCTCAAACCTGTACTGCTCTGGCAGCACGGAAGGAAACTGACTTGACTGAGGATTTACCGTGAGGGATGATTGCTCGGCATTGTAATAGTGCATGGAAGGACACTGACTTAACCCAGGATTTACTGAGAGGGATGATTGCTTAGCATTGTAACAGTGCATGGAAGGACACTGACTTAACCCAGGATTTACAGTGAGGGATGATTGCTCAGCATTGTAACAGTCCATGGAAGGACACTGACTTAACCCAGGATTTACAGCGAGGGATGATTGCTCAGCATTGTGACAGTGCATGGGCGGACGCTGACTTAACCCTGGATTTACTGTGAGGGATGATTGCTCGGCATTGTAATGGTGGATGGAAGGACACTGAATTAATCCAAGATTTTCTTTGAGGGATAATTGTGCGGGATTATAACAGTGCTGGTTAGAGGACAGTCCATCAGTGTGGATGAGTTCAGATGTCCCAGCTTCAACAGGGCCATTCAATGGGGCATCAAGATCATCCAACTCCAGAAATGGAGTATTATCACCCAGGAAACTTTGATTTGGGTAACAGTAATCATTGTAACTGAAGGAGAAATCACCTGCACCTTCACTAAGTCTACCAAAGTTGACCAAATCTCCCAAGTTATTGTAGATATCATTCCCATCCGAATGGGGTAAAGCTTCAACATTTTCATTATGCTGGTGACCAAGATTCTGCAAACCAATTAACAAACCCCATATTAATGCAATGTTAACATCTCCAAAATTGAGACACAAGTAAAACAGCAGCTTAGAAATTGAGAGAAACGAAAAAAAGGAAGCATTGCAATGTAAACTATGGTTCTGGAGTCCAGTAGCCATTTAATGTAAACCTCACAAGTACACAAGAGTTCTAAGGAGTATATTTCTTCGTATCTATCTTAAAATAGCACATTGCCACCGACATTTCTAGACAATGTGTTGATATTATACAAGGATGCTGAAAATATAGAAATAGGACAGTAGCTCTTCTCAGCACACCAAACAAGGAGAATGGAGGAAATGGACAATAAAACACTAGCAATTTAGTGGAATAGAAAGATATATCAAACAGCAAGACTACATGGGTTAACAGATGAACACAGAAGAGAACAAGAGATTACAAAGAGAAAGGGAAAAGGGGTTCTGCCAAAAAGCTGANTTAATGTAAACCTCACAAGTACACAAGAGTTCTAAGGAGTATATTTCTTCGTATCTATCTCAAAATATCACATTGCCACCAACATCGCTGGACAATGTGTTGATATTATACAAGGATGCTGAAAATATAGAAATAGGACAGTAGCTCTTCTCAGCACCCCAAACAAGGAGAATGGAGGAAATAGACAATAAAACACTAGCAATTTAGTGGACTAGAAAGATATATCAAACAGCAAGACTACATGGGTTAACAGATGAACACAGAAGAGAACAAGAGATTACAAAGAGAAAGGGAAAAGGGGTTCTGCCAAAAAGCTGACTCATCAATCGGAAGAAAACAAATTAAGTGTCGTAGAAGGAGTAGACGGTTAGCCAGCTTAGTTGTAAAATCAGCAACTATATTATAAGCAGCGACTGAAAGAAAGCAAATATTCCACGGCATTCATTGAATACACATAATTAAAAAGGGTAGAGCGCTTTACACACCTCAATTTGACCATTTTCATTTGGAACCAAAGTGCTATCTTCTGTGAAGTAAGCTAACATTGAGTCAATGTCATCCTCATGTGAAACAGGAGCAACCTCACTAGATACAACATTATTTTCTGGAGTTGGTGAATGCATATTGTTAACAGGTAGGATAACATCCGAAACACATGGCAAGCTAGCAGCAAGTGGACTGATTTGGTTATGTACGGGAATGGAATGGACAGCAGAAGACACTACTTCCATACATTCAACATCCTCATCCTCATCGTCATCCCACTCTTCCTCTTTAAATGGTGCTCCATATTGAGCACCATTTCTTGGGCCAGGGCCTTCCTTCTGGAAAACTATACAGAGCACATAAGCATCCTGATACACAAAAGAAGGTCAACCAATTAGAATCCAGCAACAAGAAATCCTCAACCAGTGATTTAATACGTTTCAATAAAAGTGGAAAGAAAAAACACTTGTGTAAGATAAATATTAGTATACATTAGAAAACCAAGGTAACTGCCAACAGGACATAAATTTAACAGTAGTCTTTAGACAAAATAAGGTCACTATGATACTCAAAACATACAATTTCAGGATAGTATGAAGAGGTGCAGATAAAACATCTACTTTTTACTGACAAAGAAGCGAGGGCTCTACGAGAAGGGTAAATATTTTGCTTCCTCTGAAAGGCAGCAAACACATCAGGTTATAGACTAGGTCCGGCAGTGCTGGCTAATCAGCATCCAGACACCACAATCAGAAGAAGCCTAAACTTATGTTATGTGTCAACAGGCCTACGGTTAGGTGATTAACAAGGAGAGAAAAAAATATGACAAAACACTACTTAAAGCACAAAGTTCACCAACACACTAAGCAGCATCAGAATGACCACAAGGCCTCAATGAATGCTGATAACCAGAAAAAAATACTTCAAAAATCCAATGGATTACAGAGCAACCTTAAATGCACAAGGACAAATATTTAGGGCTATTAAAAAAATCAGAATCAAGCATTACCTGAACAACACCTCTGTTAGCCAGATCCTTCTCCCCAATTCTATACTCATGCATAACCCAATCAGTTCGGTCACCTTTTGGAGCTTTACCTCGGTGGAAAACCAGAGTCTTTATCATCCCCACAGCTTCATTATTGTAGTGAACAGGCCTATCCTTTCCTGTGGTCTTCCAATACCCAAAGTCAGTAGCGCGATTCATTCTAGCCCCATTAGCATATTTCTTTTCTCGCGGGCAAAAGAAATACCATTTCAAGTCCCCACTTCTCAAAGTAGATTTTGCTGAAAAATAAGAAAACAAGAATGTGAAGTCAGTAAATATAATCTCACTCACAATTATGCACACTTAAGAATACAGTAGAAAATAAATAACTTACTAAAAAAAAAATATTGTCTTATATACCTGGAAGATCCCAAGGAGCGTACTTGTATATGTCAACCTCTGCAATAGCATCAATACGGAATTTCCTACCCATTACCTTCCTCTTCAGATAATACTTTACCAATTCAATGTCTGTGGGATGAAATCGAAATCCCGGAGGCAGTGATGCTTTCCCCATAGAGAAATTCATAAGGGAGTTTCACTATACAATAACTTTCAATAATTGCTCACAAGTTGTGAAGATCTTGTACTTAATTTCTTAACTCGGAGGTAACAAATTGATTACCCCAAAAAAGAAAAATAAAATCAAATAGCCTATTTGCAAATTCTAAATAACAAACTAGAGGGAACTAACTCAACAGACAAAGCTGTCAAGTCCAATGTCGAAATAAGAAACTGCGCGAACACCACAGCCTCCCCCGGCTCATAAATCCAAAATCACACAGCAGAAAAGATGTATCTTTCTTGCAGGGATCAAAAGACATTTGGTGTGCAATGCAGATCCTGTTTTAAACATTATTAGGTTCACAATCTGAATAAAAATGAAAATAGAAACCCTAAACACGAAGAACTAGCTCAACATATCCACAAAAAATGATCTCAAAAATAAAACAAACCCAGATACATATAAAACGAATAATTCATAAAGCTGATGTCTTTTTCAAAACTACAAACATTCAAAATTAATTCAAATCCAGATAGTGAAACCAAATAATTCATAAATCCAAAGCAAACATAGTTGAATTTCAAAACCCTAAAAAACCTAGATCACAAATGACCAAAAACACGAAACCCAGATGAATTCACAACGCGGAAAGCCAAAACCTAAAATCAGAAGCAAAATCAAAATAACAAAACCGTTCAAACAAACAACAGACATATGAAAGAACTAGAGAAATTTCGTGAGAAAACTCTTACCGAGAGGGAGAGCGCCGGGAGAGGAGTGTCGAGGGAGCAGGGGAGAGAGAGAGAGAGAGAGAGAGAGAGCGTGAAAAGAAAGAGTGAGAGAGTGAAGAGAGCTGAAGAACGCGGAAAGAACTTGGTTAGGGTATATAGTTACGTAGAATAATTTATTTCACTTACCCCTTCATGTTATAAACAATGACACTTTGCCACTCGCGGTTTATATAACGCAAAGGGATTACTTCAGTTTACCCTTTGAGGTTAGTTGCAATGACAGAGCCCCGTTGTTTTGGAAATTACGAGCAATACTCTATAGAATTAGTAGATGTTGCGGGAAGGGGATAAGGAAATTACTTATTTACCCATTGATAAGTAAGAATTTGTTTTTCAATAGATTTCACTAATCATCACATTAATAATAGATTTAGATGGTGTTAATATTACTATTATTTTTAAATATATTTAAACACAATGTATTAAAACTTGACTTTTATAATAATCAAGGTTTTTATATTTTTAAATAAAGATGTTGGCATTGTGTATATGGCTGTTTTTGTTTTCTTCAAAATCAAATATGTCACAATTTTTAATCTTTTTAAGGCTAAAAGAAAATATAAACTTTCAAGGGGTCTTAATGATATTTTGCTCTATTCTAATTAGTCTTTGATTGGTAACTTCTCTAGGAATCCTTCGCATCTGATTGGTTTGGTTGCTTCAACAATTTTGTTTCATTAATATAAAATATATAAAAAAATGGCAACTATTTAATAGTGGGAGAAGCATGAAAATCCAAAATTATAAAATTCTTTTCACACTGCTTTATCATAACTTTGTTACTCCTATACCCTTATATCTTCTAAACTAACGATGAAGGACTAATTGTAGGGGTTCTCAATTTTTACGTATATCTGAGGGGTTTTAAAGTAATTACTAATGATCCCTGATAGCTAATATATTAAGCCCTTGCTATCATAATAAGTAATTTTGTGATTTTTTTATTATTATATGCTCCTAGATTATCATTTGCGTCTTAAACTCATTCTTTACCCCTGGAAATTATCATTTACCCCTTAAAAAAATGAGTAATGCTACAGTTATTGAAGGTTTCGCATCGAATGACGTGACAAAATCCTGACCGTTGATTAATATTAACTGATAATAAATCAACAGTCAAGATTTTGTCACGTCATTCGATGCACAGATTCGATACACAACCTTCGGTGGCTCTATCATTTTCGTAAAAAAATATCACAAATCCCTCCTAATAAAGGGTAATTGATACATTCAGATAAGTGCGAGATGCATTCTAAATTTTACTATATCTAAGAGAGCATAATAATAGGGTAGAACCGGAACCAGTGACTACCCGGGGTTCCTGTCCCTACCCAACATCGACCGTCATAGGGTCGGTTTCGATTCTCAAAAACTGGAACCGATATTATGTGGTTCCAGTTCTAAAAAATCGGAATCGGTACTATGTGCTTCCGATTCCCGTTCCACCACTTCAAGAACTAGAACCGAAATCGGGAATCGGTACTGGAACTGAGATACAGGTACCTGGATAGGAATCGAGATTAAAATATAATTTTTGTAAACTATTAGGAGTGTATTTATAATTTTTAGAGGGTATATTTGTAATTTTTCAAAAGACGGGGTAATTAAATTATCACAGATACCCGAAACCGGAACCTATGTTTCAGGTTTCAACTCCGGTTCCTTTGAATATATATTTGATCATATCATGGTTGAATATGGTTTGCATCACTTGATAATCTTAAATGCAAGACGAATATATTTACATTGTTATCATTTTAGACTAAGCTCCATAATATTAACTGCTGTTTAGTGCATTTTTTCGTTTATCTAAATTGCCAAGGATACTATTTTATCATAACTTCAGTGATAATATCTTTTGTTACTATAATATTGATAACCAATGTCTGATAATATCATTTGTTACTATAATATTGATAATTAATGTCATAATTTCAAGAGAACTTTGACATTCAACACTTAACACTTAACCAAACAAAGCAGTAAATCACAATCAAAATTCAAGAACAAGAGAGATCAACTTATATGAAGTGAATACTATATTACGTATTTGTAAGACTGATACAACAATCTATTGAAAAGCAAAGAAAGTAAATGATAATTAATTTAAAGATAGCCTAGCAATTCGAAGAGCTAGTGACCTCCCTTCAGATTGATATAACAATCTATTAAAAAGCAAAGAAAGTAAACAATAATGAATTTAAAGATAGTCTAGCAATTCGAGGAGCTAGTGACCTCCTTTCCAAAATCCCACTAAAATGTTCTCTGGCCTTTTACAAATCATATTATATTTATATCCCAAAACGTCACGCACAATCCATTGTCATTGCCACATGGATAGCCAACTTCCCCACATGCAACCCCACGCTACTTAGCCCTTTTATTCCTTTTGTAAATATAGGTTAGGGTCCTATCAATACCCCCCCACCCATGAGTGTCATCTTGTCCTCAAGGTGAAAAAGAGGGTATTGAAGATTGATGACATCAAAGGATTCCCATGTGGCCTCATAGGGAGGTAAGTCTTTCTAATGAATCAAAACTTCTAAAGATGAGCCATCCAACAGGGTGTGAACGGAATGCACCGAGGCAGGTTGGACCATAAGCTCTGAATCGTCATTGAGGCAAGTTGGAAGAGGCTGAACTAGGATGGAATTATAGGGAATCTTTTTTAGCTGAGAAACATGAAAAACAAGATGGATCTTGGAAGACTCAGGCAATGCTAGGCGATACGCAACTTCACCTACCTTGATCAGAACTTTAAAAGGACCATAAAAGCGTGGGTTGAGTTTTCATTGAGCTTTAAAGCCAAGGATCTGAATTTATAAGGCTGAAGTTTTAAGTAAACGAAGTCACTTGGTTCAAAAGAGACATCTCGATGGTGAGAATTAGCATAGACTTTCATGTGATCTTAAGTTGTAGATAAATTGGATTTAAGTTCATCTAACAAGGCATTCCGTTGAAGCATTTGCTGATTAATTTCTTCCACAGCAGAGTGTACCTTAGTAAATTTCAAGAGAATAGGAGGTGCACAACCATATAGAGCCTTGAAAGGTGACATTTTGGTGGAGCTCTGGTGGGAGGTCTTAAACCAAAATTCAACCTAGTGTACCTTATTGCTTTGGTTTGTTGCTTGTGAAACACCAGAGATATGTCTCAATACAGCGATTAACCACTTCCGTTTGCCTATTAGTTTAGGGGTGGTATGTTGAACTAAATTTGATAGTAGTGCCAACTAAATGAAAGAGTTCAGTCCAAAAGTTACTCAAAAAAAGTCGATCACAGATAGAAAAAATAGACTTGAGAAAACCATGCAATCTAACCTCTTCCTTCACAAAAAGGGCAGTCACTTCCTTCGCATTGTAAGGGTGGCAAAGCAACATAAAATGGCTACATTTTGTTAATCGATCCACCACCACAAACATAGTGTCAAACCTAAGGCTCTCCGGAAGGCCACCAATAAAATCCATGGAGAGGTCATAGAAAGCCAAGTCTAGGATTGGCAAGGGCAACAATCTTGTAGGTTTCAGTGATAAATGTTTGTTCTTTTGGCAAATACCACAAGAGTTCACAAAATTCTTGATATCCTGTCTAATTCCTTCCCAAAAGAACCCCAAATGGCCGCTGCTGTCCTCTAGCAGTTGTGGTATAAACCGAAACTTTTAGGGAGTACAAGCCTGCCTTTATATAAAAGACAACCACAATGTAGGGTATAGTGGGTTTTAGAATTGAGTTGTAAAAGAAGATTATGAATAATCAACTTAAATTTGTTAACCTACAATGCTTCGACTACCAAGTCTTCATACCCCTGAAATATTGCTGTAGAGAAAGCATTAAGCTCAAGTCCTAACTCCCGTCTAGAAAGTTCATCAGCCACTATTTGTACCCCAGTAGTTTAGAAATCCATTTATGCTGTTTTGGTGTGATTGTCCTCTGCCCCATAAAAAATTGGAGACTTCTCTGATCAGTCTTTATGATAAACTTCTTTCCAATCAAGTAGTGGCTCCATTTGTGCACAACGAATACAATGGCCATTAGTTCCCTCTCATAGACCGATTTTTGTTTAGAAGAAAAAGAAAATGCTTTACTGAGAAATCCAATAGGTTTCCCTTGTTGCACCAAAATAGCTCCCATGCTGAGACCTGAGGCATCAATCTGGACTTCAAAAGGTTCGGCAAAATTGGGAGTGGCTAACATTGGAACTGAAACCATTGCTCTCTGTAAACTTTCAAAAGCTTGTTGTGCTTCCTTGGACCACTTGAAAGAATCTTTCTCCAATAGTTGGGTTAATGGTTGAGTAATTTGGCCAAAGTCATTAATGAATTTTCGATAATATCCTGTGAGCATAAGAAACCTTGTAAACTCTTCACTGTAGTGGGAACATGCCAGGAAAGCTTACAATCTACCTTCGCAAGATCAACTTCAACACCCTTTTCTAAGGTGACATGTCATAAATACTCTAGTTTTGCTTGAGCAAATTGGCACTTTTTTTTTTTTTATTAACCAACCTGTGCTCCTATAGGATTTGAAAGACCTGTCTTAGATGCATCAGGTGAGCAAATATGTCAGTATTGTAAATCAATATGCTGTAAAAAAAACCAAGATAATCTTGTAAAGGTAAGGCTTGGAAATTTCATTCATCAATGCTTGAAAGGTAGAGGAGGCATACGTCAACCCAAATGGCATTACTAAAAATTCGTAATGTCCTTCGTGAGTCCAAAAAGTTGTTTTAAGGACACCTTCATCACGAACCTTGATCTAGTGATAACTTGACTTGAGGTCTAGTTTAGAAAATATTACGGCTTCTCCCAGTTCATCTAGCAACTCATTTATGGTTGGAATGAGGAATTTATCGGGTATAGTAATGTTGTTCAATGCTCTATAATCTACACAAAGCATCAACTACCATATTTTTTTCTAACTAGTAACACCGGACTCGAAAAATGACTAATACTAGGCTGAATTATCTAGGGGTGGGATAAACCGGTTAACCGAACCGGTTTATCCAAACCGAAAACCGAACCGGTTTTTGGTTTTGGAGAAAATCCAAACCGAAAACCGGACCGGTTTCGGTTAAAAACGGAATATAAACCGAACCGAAT